ATGTAGATTAAGATGCCCTTTAGCTGTCTGGCAGCCAAGAAATCAATTTAATGTATCCTATTCAGGTTTGGGGAAATGCCCTCAGCCATTCCCAGATGCAGCCCTGCTGTCATGCTGGAATTGGTCTCCGGCACAAGGCTGGCGAAGGCGTGGAGAAATTGGAGCCCGTGGGGTTGGCCGTGGGGATGTAAAATGGTGCAGTCACCGTGGAAAACCGCATGGTGGTTCCTTTAAAAAAATTGAACATCGCATCGCCTTCTGGTCCAGTAGTTCCACTTCTGGGTCTACACAGAAAAGAACTGAAAGCAGGGATTCTAACAGATAGCCCATGTTTACCTTAGCATTCCCCACAACAGCCAAAAGGTGGAAACCACCTGTGGAGGGGTGGATGAATAAGCAAGATGTGGTGCCTACCTGCAATGAAACAGTATTCGGCCTGAAGAAGGAAGGAGGCTCCTTCCCGCTACAGCGTGGATAGACCTGGAAGGCATGTTGGTAAGTGAAATGAGCCAGGCACAAAGGACAAATACCGTGTGGTTCCTGGAGCTGTCAAATCGTCCAAGACAAAGAGAGGAGTGGTGGTTTCCAGGGCTGGGGAGGAGGGGGTGGGAGTTATTGAATGGGTCCAGAGTTTCAGTTTTGCAAGAAAAAACAAGTTCTAGAGATGGATGCGGTGATGGTTGCGCAACCGTGTGACTGTACTTAATGCCACTGAACTGTAACCTTAGAAATGGTTAAAACGGTAAAGTTTCTGTTGTCCATATTTCCCAATAAAAAGGGTGTGGCCGTGTGTGCACACAGAGGGCATGGGGGCAGCCCTCCTTATGGGCCAAAATGTGAGCTGGGCAGAGCTGGGTGGGGCAGGGGAGAGCTAGGCCAGGCTGCCCCCACCTCACTGGCCGTCCCGCCGCTCCTACCATTCTGGGACCCCGCAGGAGTGCCCCGGGCTCCCTGCCAGGCTCCCCGCAGCTGTTTCTGTTCTGCTTCCAGGGTCCGGGGAGAACCCCTCATGTCCCACAGACACGGGCCGGCTGCCTGCTCTCTCGGGCACCCAGGAAGGTGTGGGCAGGGACACCCCCATCCCCCTCCCTAACGACCCAAGAGGAAACCCTCTTTTTTAAAATATGTTTTTATTGATTTCCGAGAGGAAGGGAGAGGGAGAGAGAGAGAGAGAAACATCAGTAATGAGAGAGAACGATTGATCGGCTGCCTCCTGCACGCCCCACATTGGGGATCAAGCCCATAACCCGGGCATGTGACCAGAATCCAACCGTGACCTCCTGGTTCAGAGGTCGAGGCTCAACCCCTGAGCCACTCTTTCCTACTGCCCCGCTGCTGCTCCACTTTTCGTTTCTTTCTTTTTAAATATCTTTTTTATTGCTGAATGGCTCCACTTTTCAATCGCCCGTGTGGCTCTACTTACTCCTCAGTTCAGAGCCGTCCCAGCTCCTCTGCCCCAGCAGCATCCTCATCCCTCCCTCCAGCTTCAGTGTCCAAGGCAGCCTCTCTGCCTACTCACTCCTCGGAGCCGAAGCCATCAGGCCACTCCCCGCTTGCAGCGGTCCTGCACTTCCCACCTGGGGCGGCTTTCCCTCCGCCCGCAGTGGTCTGTGTGGCAGGTGAGTTATTTATGATCACGAAGCAGACACCTCCACCAGAAATCTATTAGGAGAATAACATGTCAGAGGCTGATTGATGTAAGATGCCGTTTGAAGAACCCAGTATTACTCACAGGGGATTCTTGCCAAAGTGGCGGAGATCTAATCGAGCCCGTGGCTCTAACTCCCCATTTACAGGAAATACAGAGGTTAGGGGAACAAGCTAGATGACTTCACAAGGACATAATTAGATCAATTAAGAAGGAGAACAGAGTATAGGACAATGGCTTTGAATCTTCAGAGAGTCAAGCCATGAAAAAATGAGTTGGGAGGGCTATTGCAGACTAAAAAGAAATAACCCTATGCTATGCATACACCTAGATTGGGTCCTGGTCCAAAACTTTAAAAAAAGAAAGAGAGAAGGGAGGAAGGGAGGGAGGGAGGGAGAGAAGGAGGGAGGAGGAAAAAGAGGAAGGGAGAAGCAACAATAAAACACATTTTGGGGGACAATTGGAGAGATTTAATGTTAACTGAAAATTACAGGACATAGAGGAATTATTATTCATTTTTGGGGGGAGATAATAGTTTACTTATAAAAGACACTATCCTTACACTATGGAGATGCATGCTGATGTATTTCAGGACAAAGTCTCAGGCATCCATAATTCACTTCAAAATGGAAAAGAGTGGAAGCCAAGATGGACAAATGCTGGAAGCCGATCCACCCTGGCTGCTTGAGGCAGTCCCTGCAGGGATGTCTCAAGGGACCTGGCGTATATGGCGTGCTGTTTTTGGTATGTTTGCTCCCCTTTTTAAGCTCCGTGTGTTTTAACCAAGGTCGCCTCTCCAAGAAAGGTTGTTTCCCCAGGTGAGGATTTTTATCAGTAAACCCTTTAACTGAGGGGTGGTTGGTCGCTTTGATCTTTGTAAAAGACACTATCCTTACACTATGGAGATGCATGCTGATGTATTTCAGGACAAAGTCTCAGGCATCCATAATTCACTTCAAAATGGAAAAGAGTGGAAGCCAAGATGGACAAATGCTGGAAGCCGATCCACCCTGTATATGGCATGCTGTTTTTGGTATGTTTGCTCCCCTTTTTAAGCGCCGTGTGTTTTAACCGAGGTCGCCTCTCCAAGAAAGGTTGTTTCCCCAGGTGAGGATTTTTATCAGTAAACCCTTTAACTGAGGGGTGGTTGGTCGCTTTGATCTTTGCTTGGAGTGACCTCCTTCAGTTACTTCCTTGTAACTTAGTGGAACAATAGAGTAACCTTTGAATGGAGACGGGAAGCCCCCTGGCCTTTTGTATAGAATGGATAGGATTGGGACCAAATAGTATAAATACAGATGTTAGATGACCATAAAGAGAAGAACCTGGCTATGATGATCACCTGAACGCTGCCTCCGTGTCATTCATTCTTCGCCAACTCCGTCCACACCTTTGGGAACCCCTGGACCCGCTGGGGCTGGACCCCAGCAGACAAATGCTAATCATTGAATTTAGGTGGTAGAGATATGCTCTTTGTCCCATTTCTTCTGTATTGCCTAGAAGTTTTCTAAATGACAATGTGAAAGAAACAGAGCAAAGCTCGGCCCTCGGTCTCAGCGTCGCCTCTCTCACTCTGCCTTCTCTGCCGCCGACATAAGAATGAAGGCTCTCCCCTGACCGGTTCGGCTCAGCGGATAGAGCGTCGGCCTGCGGACTGAAGGGTCCCGGGTTTGATTCCAGTCAAGGGCATGTACTTTGGTTGCAGGCACATCCCCAGTGGGGAGTGTGCAGGAGGCAGCTGATGGATGTTTCTAACTCTCTATCCCTCTCCCTTCTTCTCTGTAAAAAAATCAATAAAATATATTTTTTTAAAAAAAGAATGAAGGCTCACCCTCCCCCAGACCTGCGCCTGCTTCCCCCTGCTGAGCGGGGGCTCCTTGGGGCGAGGACGTTGGCTTATGGATTTGCCCACCGCAATGCCAGGCACGCACCAGGACTCAGTAACAAACACTAGTCGCTTCTGCGCCCATTTCACAGGTGGGGAGGCTGAGGCTCAAACAGGTTAAGTCACTTGCCCACGGTGATACCCCTCATTAGGAGGTGGAGTCCGGTTTGACTCCAGGTCTGGCTGAGTGGACAGCCTGGCTGTTGGGTCTGGATCGAATCTAAATACCATTAGTCTTTTCTTTCTTTTTTTAATCCTCAGAGGAGGATATTCTTTCCATTGATTTCTAGAGAGAGTGGCGAGATAGAAACATTGTCGTTTTTAAAATATATTTGTATTGACTTCAGAGAGGAAGGGAGAGAGAGATAGAAACATTAATGAGAGAGATCGTTGTTCTCTCCTGCACGCCCCCTACTGGGAACTGAGCCCAAACCCTGGGCATGGGCCCTGAGTGGGAATCAAACCGTGACCTCCTGGTTCATAGGTCGACCTCTGAGCCACACGGGCGGGCCAAGCTACACACAGTAAGTCTTTAACACCCTGATGAGGTGGGTGGGGTGACCATTCCAATTTTATGGGAGGAAAAACTGGGCTAGAAGAGGGCAGGAGACATCCCCAAGGGCTGCACACCAGGCTCTGAACCCAGCACCTTACGGGCATAAACTCACTCAATCCTCACAGCAGTTCTCAACGTGGGGGTGAAGAGAGGGGGGGTCATCTGGTGGTCATGAGCTCAGACCTAATGTTGCTACTGTTATGAATCGTAATGTAAATACCTGAAGCATAGTGATTAATCACAAAAACAATATGTAATTATAGATGTGTTTTCCGATGGTCTTAGGCGACCCCTGTGAAAGGGTCGTTTGACTGCCAAAGGGGTCTCGACTCACAGGTTGAGAACCGCTGACCGCTGAACAAAGAAAAGCAGTGCCGTTTTGACGCCTGTTTCACACCAGGCTCTGAACCCAGCACCTTATGGGTATAAACCCACTCAGTCCTCACAGCAGTTCTCAACGTGGGGGTGAAGAGAGTGGGGGGGGCGGTCATCTGGTGGTCATGAGCTCAGACACCAGAGCCAACTGACTGGGGCAAATCCAGGCTCCCCCGCCTCCTGGCTGGTGATCCTCAAGAAATTCCCTAATTTCTGCATACCTCAGTTTCCCCCTCCGTAAAAAGGACCACCAGGGCCCTGCCAGTCTGGTCCCTTCCGGTTTGCTCGCAGCCAGCATTCTCTATCCCTCGGCCCCTGCCCTTTGCTTATTGCCCACAGAGGAGCTAGGGCCCCAGGCCAGACCGAAGGGCGAGTCCAGCTCCGGGTAGGGAGGTGACCAGCAGAAGGGAAGAGAAGAGGCCCTTTGAACCTGAGCAGTCCTCCGAGGCAGGTTCCGGTTTGAGGAGCCATTCTGAGCAGCAGCTCAGGATCCCCAAGACCTGGGCCCTCTGTTTCTAAGGCAACATCCTGTGGAATCTGGCTGCCTGCCTCTCCCCTCCCACCGCCCGCCCGCCTGCAGGGGAGCCAGGGGCGGAGACAGAGCACAGGCAGCGATCTCATTAGAAAAACCAGAGCGCCTCGCGCTAGAGACACAGTGCCCGCCTGGCCCCCCGCCTCGCCTCACCTGGACCCTGCCTGGCCCCCTGCCTGCCCTCAGCCATGGCTGTGCATCCGCTCTCCTGGCTGCTCCGCTTGGCTGTCCTCTGCCATCTAGCCCTGCTGCTGGCCGGTGAGTGGGGTGGGCGTAGCCTGAGCAGGGAGGGGGCGCCCTCAGGCCCGGCATCAGGGCACCAGACCCTTCCTACGTGAGGCTGAGGTCTGTGGCAGGCCCGCTTGAGGGATGTGCCTCGGGGGTAGGGAGGGGGGGGATGCGGCTCAATGAGGAAAAGATTTGGCTCAATGAGCAAGGCGGCTACTGCTTGGAGTGCGGGGGGAGGTGGCGTGGGAGGCACAAGGGGGCCAGGTGGATATCAGAAGGCCGGGGCTCGAGCACGGGAGGTGGCTCCTGCTGGATAGGAGCCTCGGTGGGACCCAGGGTTAATATGTAACCCGAAGTCCTGAGCCGCAGCCTGGCCCTGGGCTAGACCACAGTTGGGACTTTCTCCTGCCCTGATGTCAAGGCCACCCCAGGAGTCGGGGCCCCAGGACCAGTGGACGTCAAGGTCATTGCAGCTCATGGGGTGGGCTCATCGCTCTTGCTCTGGTCTGTAGCCCCATCTCCCCCCTGGTACGGTCTTCCCCTCCAAGCACAGCTTAGAAAATGGTGGTCCAGGCAGGGTCCAGGGAAGGCGCCTCCAGCCACTTGCCTTCTGGAGCCTGGGACCTGGCAGGACATCCTTCATCCATCCCACCTGCCACGGGTAGGGTGGGCTCAGAAACTGGCCTGAGGGTACGGCCAGCAAGTAGGGCAGGAGAGGGTGGGCTGGGTGCAGGAGGGAGCGTGGATGATGCTCACCGCCTCTGTGGCCACCTGAGTCAGCCCCATCCTCGGGGAGTACCCAGGCCACCTGGCAGGTTGAAGCTCAGAGAGGGTGGTAGCCCGCCTTAGGACACACAGCGAGTCTGGGAGAATAAGAACCAGCCTCCAGCTTCCAGAACACCTCTGGGCGAACACACCGGTGGGACAGGGAGGAGGCAGGTGAGGGTGGCGGAGGTGGCGGAGGTGGCGGAGGCGTAGGAAGCCAAGTGTTGCTGCTTCCTGCTTCCTGGGCCCAAGGCCAGAGCCCCAGGTGTTTGGGGATCGGGAGCCCGGGGAGGGGGAGTTAGATGGAGGTGCTTTGCCGTGACCTGAAGGGGGTCTTGCCCTCTTTGGTCCCTGCCACCGCACCTCCAGACAGAGTTCTTGCCTCTGCGTCCTGAGGCTCTGAGGC